TGCCTCTCCCCTTATTTGCTTTGACCTCAACATGCCCTGTAAAGTCCACCCCCCGTATGTGTAAAGGGGCGTGATGGTACCACTCGAGGGGTCGGCAGATCACCCATGATCTGTGTTCGCCTTTGAGTATTGAGTCGAACACATGTGGTGCACCGGCGTATTATCTTCTTTACCGCTCGCTGTCCACTTATGATCCAATATTTGTTTCGTATGTGTGCCAAGGTCAATTTAACTCCACCATGTAACGTAGTGTGATGAGCGTCCAGTATAAGCAGGTCCGTCAATCGTGAATGATAGGGAAGTATAGTAAGCTGCTTGCTGGTTGTAGGTAATGTTGAATGTTGCAATCTTCCTTTCATTCTCAGAATGCCATCTTTATCGAGAAATGGATTTAAACTTATAATTGCACTTTTCCATGAAATGTTTCCGTTTTTCTTTAATTGGTCTATCTCTTGTGCAAAGCTTTCTTACTGAATTGATTTAATTATTAATAGTATGATAATTTCATTCACTGTGATATAACTTGGAGTGAAATTGTTATTGTTTCGCACGCGCTCACGAGTAATAGTTATGAAACGTAATATTCGACATAGCACGCGGGTCACCTTTGTAACTGAGCTGTATTTATATAGAAGCTCACTGATAAACGGTGAATGGTTAACTTCTGCCGCACATATCCGACCTTTGCTCTTTATATCGATTTCCGGAGCTTCATATTTTTCTGGAGGATACTCTTTGTTCTCCCTGAGCCACGAGGGTCCATCCCACCATAGAGAATACGATAATAGTTGAGATAGTGAAAGTTCTCGCGTGGCACAGTCAGCTGCATTATGCTCTGATTTTGTATGCCTCCAGCATGATGACGGTATGACCTTAATTATTTCATTCACTCGGTTTGCCACGTATGTTTTCCATCTTGCAGTATTCCTATGAATCCAGCCTAAGACAACCATTGAGTCCGTCCAGCCATAAATTTGTAATTTGTTTTGAGCTAATGACATCGAAACGATAATCTTTTGTATTAATTTAGATAACAAAACAGCTGCACATAATTCCAGTCGGGGCAATGTAATTCGTTTTTTTTTGTGGGGCTAGCTTAGTTTTTGCTGCTATGAGGTGTATCCTGGGTTCCTTATGCCCATTATAGGTTTTGATGTAAACTACGGCCGCATAAGCCTTTTCTGAGGCATCTGCGAAGCCGTGTAACTGTACGGATGATTGAGTATATCCGACCCATCTCGGAATTTCAATTTTATTTACGTTCTTTAATTCTTCTTTTAGTTTACTACACTCATATTGAATATCTGGTGACAATAATTGGTCCCATTCCGTATGCTCACTCCAAAGTCGTTGGAATAATAGTTTCGTCTTTATTGTACATGGGGCTAACCAACCAAGCGGGTCGAAAAGCTTCGATATGTTTGAAAGCATGGAGCGTTTTGTGTCGGGCTTTTGCGTGTTCTCAATCTTATAGTCAAAAGTAAAACTATCAGAGGATGGATGCCAACGTAACCCCAATGCTTTTGTAGTTGATGATGATGAGCTATTGTTGAAGTTAACAGTGGAGATATTAACTTGGTCCTCAGTAAAATTTTCCAGAAGTCTGGGTTCATTGCTCGACCATTTTCTCAAGTTGAATCCGCCTCCTCGTAATATATCAATTAATTGGCATCGTGCTTGCTTTTCTTCTTCGATATTGTTGCTACCATATATCAAATCATCAACATAAAATCTCTTCTTCAAGATCTCAGCTGCCATAGGGTAAACGTTAGCGTCATCACTGGCTAACTGTTGCATCGTTCTGAGAGCCAAATATGGGGCTGCTTTCATGCCATATGTAACAGTGCATAATTGAAATTCTTGCATAGCACCATGTTCGTTTCGCCATATTATCTTCGGGAGTTGCTGGTCTTCCTCTTGTACTTTGATCATACGATACATCTTTTCGCAATCTGCTGTATATACATACTTGTAAGCACGCCAACTTAGTAATAATTCCAGTATATCACGTTGCAGTTTAGGGCCACGCTCCATTAAGTCATTCAAGCTAAAGCCAGTTGATGTTTTTTCCGATGCATTAAAAACAGCTCGTAACTTTGTAGTATTAGAGTCAAATTTTAGGACCCCATGATGAGGTAAATAACATTCTAGAAATTTACTCTCCACTGCTGGTTTCATATGGTTCATTTCCTTGTACTCATTCATGAAATGATTGTATTTATCACATAGTTGCGGATCTTTTTCTAGCTTTCGCTCTAATTGCTTGAACTGTGCAACGGCCTTTAGTTTCGAGTGACCTAATTGCTTTTCAAAGCTTTTCTTCATGGGTAAACGTACTTCATACACCCCATTTGATAATCTTTTAGTCGTTTTGACATAGTAATCTTCACAAAATTGGTCTTCTAAAGTTAATGAGCGTTCTTCCTCCGAAATGTCTTCCATTTCCCAATAATTGCATATGTCTTCGATATTATTCATAGTAAAATAGAAGTTGAATATTTTCGTCGTAGAACCAGACATTATCCAACCCATCTGTGTTTGCTGTGCTATTGGTTGGCATGACGATCCTTTTAGTAACCCATCCATGATGATTTCAGCATAAACCTTAGCGTCTAAAAGTATGTCAATAGGTTTCGATATGTTGTACTCAGGATCCGCTAATTTCAAGTGTTGTATGTGTGGCCAATTTTTATTCTCGAGTGACGTCACAGGCAGGCAGTCAATAACTTTAGACATTATTAAAGCTTCTGTAGAGAATGCATAATCGGTTGATAATGATTTGCAGTGCAATAGTACTTTTCCTCGGCTTTTATTTGGCGATGTACCGATACCGGAGACAGATGCATGGAAGTTTTGGCGTTTTAGCCCTAACCTTTGCACTGCATTTTCGGAAATAAGGGAAGTTTGTGATCCTTGGTCCAAAAGTGCGCGCAGTGTGATATAAGAACCATCTGCTGCCCGTACTTGCATCTTAATTGTGGCAAGTAATATTTCATCGTCATTTCCAGCCACGTGGTGTGATTGTACATGTGGTTTCGAGCCCTGTGACTTCGAAGCCGTTGTCGACATGTTCCCCGAACTTGCATTACTCGCCGCCTTTGTAATATAAGCGTTGTGCAATAATGTGTTATGTTTCTTGTGACATTCCTTGCACCGTTTTTCGGAATTACATTCGTATTTATGCACGTATAAACAATTTTCGCATATGTGTAGTTTCGAAATGGTATCTAATTTCGTTTCAGGTGTCATGACTTCGAATCGTTTGCATTGAAACAATGCGTGATTTTGTTTGCATAAAGGACAAGTAGGTATAAACTTGGAGTTAACATAAAATGATTTCTTGAGTGATGTATCTCTGTTCTCATAAATTGCAGGTTTTTTGGTAATAACGTTATTTAAATTTTGATACATGGTTATTTCTATTAAAATTCGATGTTTCGACTGTCTGTTCTTTCCTATTCATTGGCTCTGGGGCTGTAAATTTGGCTTCCAAAAACGCCATAAGCTCGTCCAAATCAGGTAGGTACGCGCACCGCCTGGCAGGGTCGCCATGTAATATAGGAAAGGTGTTAATGAAGGAGACGTGTGTTTGGTACTAAAACTTTAATTAGACGGCCTAATTATTCTACCTTAACACTAAAGTATATTAACGTGAGAGCACTACACTACATCCCATAGGATGCATCATCCGAGATCGTCGGTAATGAGGCTGTACTTGCCGCGAAAGCATGGTGGGCGTGGCTTCTTGAGAGCGCTCACCATGCATAATCGCGAAGTGTGCAGCCTCCGTGATTACTTTCTGGCGAGATCGCATGATCCATTCTATAAGAACGTCATTTCTTGTGATAAAGGACTTACCCCTCTATCCTTAGCCAACGAGCAATGGCAAGACCCGGCAGTGCAGAGCATTTCAGACCGGGGGACCGTATGGAAGGAGAAGGAGCTCCACGGGAGGTTCTACAAGGCTCTACATGAGCCTTTCGTAGACACAGTAGCCTCCCTCCACTGGCTACGCTTTGGTTACTTCTTCGGGGAAACCGAGGGTGTTGTCTGTGCAATACAGGATCAGGTTATTAAGACCAACAACTATCGGAGATACATCCTAAAGGATGGCACTGTCGACATCTGTCGAGCTTGCCGCCATTCCGGTGAGTCACTTAGGCATGTCATCTCCGGTTCTTCGAGCTTTCTAACTCTGAGTACTTGCACAGGCACAACCTAGTAGCCAGAATTCTTCACCAGGAGCTCGCTCTAAAATACGGTCTCGTGGATCGAAAATTACCGTATTACATGTACTTGCCATAAACCGTGCTCGAAAATGATCGCGTCAGGCTCTACTGGGACCGGTCCATCATCACAGACAGGACTATTCTTGCGAATAAGCCTGATATTGTGCTAATGGACCGGGCACAGTCAAGGATATTATTGGTCGACATTAACATTCCGTATGACGAGAACCTCGTGAAAGCCGAAACAGATAAGCAAACAAAATATCTAGACCTGGCTCACGAGGTGACCTACATGTGGGGTGGTCTGCCGACCGAAATTATTCATGTAGTCGTCTCTGTAAACGGGGCTATGTGGCGGACCGCTCCAGGCTCAAATGCAGAAGGCGGTGCTCCTCGATACCGCCCGCATCGTCCGCCGGTTTCTTTCCCTTAACTTAAAATGTCTATTTTTATATGTAATAAAAAAATCGTGAAGAAATATACAAAAATAACTAAGTTACAAATCTTATACAACGCTAAGTAAAGTTACTTTTCGAAATCACTCAATTTAAATTACGCTAACCACTATTAGCGGAGTGTGCACGGGAGGGGCATGCACCGCTTTATCCACAGCTTTTCTATTTGTTTGTTTACATTAATCTAACGACACTTGTCGCCGTGTTAGATGTGATTGCGCGGTTTTAAAAACTTTATAAGTAAATCATAATTCATCTAACGTTATTGATTACAAGTTATTTAAAATATTGTTAGTGTTAATTTATTAATACAAAAATGTCACGAAAACGATCTAAATATTTAGTGGATTTAGCCAAAAAGGAGAAAAATTCATTGAAGAGTTTTGATAAAAATGGTGAGATACCACTTCATACTGACGAGAGAGGTAAGTTTAATGTGTTATTAAGGATTACAGTGTAGGTCAAAGTATATAATTATGTTTTATAGTAATACGCCACGTTTTTTGAAAATTTGAGCCGCTTAGCTCATAGTCCGTGTAACACTACGCTAACAGTTAGCGCAGTTTAGTGCGTTCGTGTATACTTGTTCGTTTGTAAAATGCACTACTACACGAGTGTTAATTAGTTTATTGATGGTACCTTGAGTATATTTTTAATGTACATGTTTTTTACAAAAATAATTATATTATGATTTCAACACATTATCCCTATTGTTATAGAATCCTCGCCATTACCTGCTGAAGTTGATAATCCTGAATTCGTGGCTTTGTATAATCACGTCATGTTTGAAGAGCCTATTCAAGAGCATGATTATTCTATAGTCAGTTCTGCAAGCCGAGATATAGAAAATTACAAAAATGATGTAGTATTACAAGATATAAATTTGAATGACTTGGGGGCTCCTAAAACTCCACTTAATATTTATTCACCAAATGTATTGACTTCAACCCAAAAACTTTCTCCATTGACATTAACTTCACCAATTATCGAACCTTTGTTTTCATTCGTCTCTAATGATGCTTCTGACAGCATAGATAATACCCTCGTACCTTCACCTTATAGTAATTTTTCGGAATCTTCACAAAGTTTAAACGGTACCTTAGTGCCGACTTCTTGCCAAGAAGCCGAAGATAGAACACTCACACCAGAAATCAGTACTTCCATCCAGGAAAGTCTTCCCGATTCGCATATGGTTAACTGCCTCAGCAATAACACGAATTCAGTATCGGCAATATCTACTCCCTGTAATTCAATTTCCTCGCCTGCAACGTTTAATTATAGTGACTATTCTGCAGTATCGACCCCAAAAAATAATAAACGTAGATCTAAAAAAAGAACTGATGTGGGTCTCAAACGTCTTAAACTTGAAGATGAGTGGAAAAATAGAAAGAGAAAACGTTTGTGTAACAAAGGATTGCAGTATACTACGTCAAAAGGGAGAACTAAAGCACCAAGAAGCATTAAAGTCAGTTTTGTCAATTGTCGTCTGCAATGCTATAATAAAATAAGCCAAGAAGTTCGTATTGACCTTTCTGATAAGTTTTGGGATACCGATGATCACCAAAACAATGGCAAATCATTGCCAAATATGTAATACAAAAAAGTAAAAAGACTGCCACTAATGTTGAAAGCGAATCTAGTCGTCGATCACACACTTTGCATTATCACCTTCCTATAAATTCTGACAATGGTATCATATTACAAAAAGCTTGCAAAACAATGTTCTTGAACATCATTGATATTAGTAAAGATTTTGTGTATATTGCAATACGAAAAATCCAAGAAAACAATGATTTTACTTATGTTACTGACGACAGAGGTCGGCATAAAAACCATAACTATGTAATTACAAACGAAATGAAACAGAGTGTCATAGATCACGTTAATTCTTTCACCCCTGTTGAGTCTCACTACATTAGAAAACGTACGAGTAAAAAATACTTAGAACCTTCTTTATCTTTTTCTAAAATGTTTAAGTTGTATCATGAGTGGTGTTCTGATAATAATTATAATGTTAGAGTACAGACAGTAAGACAGTATAGAGATGTTGTTAATACTAATTTGAAGATAGGTTTTCATTTACCAAAAAAAGACCAATGCGATATCTATCATCAGTACAAAAATAAATCTAGCCCTACAGATGAATTGAAAGAAAACTTCACAAAACATCAAAGAAAAAAAAATTCCCAAATTAAAGTTAGAATGTAAACTGTTAGCTGTCTCTAGTAACAAAGTAGTTTGTATTGTATTTGATTTTCAAAAAATTTTAAGCTCACCACTTTGTAATATAAGTGTGATATTATAGGCGTAAGCTCAATGTATATAATTTAACAATTTACAATATGGGATCAAAAGAAGCATTTTGTCATATGTGGGATGAGCAAACGGCTAAGAGGGGGGCTAATGAAGTGGCTAGTTGTTTATACGATTTTTTTATTAAATTAGCTTCTAAGGGAGTTCACGAAGTCAATCTATGGTCAGACAACTGTGAGGGACAAAATCGTAACCATATTGTTTACTATATGTACTTATTAACCGCTAAAATTTTTAAAATGAAGATAAGCCACCATTTTATGCAAAAGGGCCATACACAGAATGAAGGAGATTCAGTTCACGCTTTGATAGAAAAAACTGCAAGAGGTAGAGAGGTATATTCGCCGGATGAGTGGTATTCACTAGTACGATGGGCAAAGGTCAATGGAATCCATATAATGTTATCGAGGTTAATCAAAACATGATATTTGATTTTAAAAGTAATATTAGAAAAAAAATTGGACTAAAAATTTAAATAACGATAAAGTTATGTGGAATAAAGTACAAAAAAAATGAAGTTTCTCCTGATACTTACGGGTTGTTGGAATATATTATGTATAGTTTAGGTGATAAAGACAGCAATCAAATACAATGTTTTAAAAAGACATCTACTAGATTATCCCACTTGGAGCTTTTTCCCGAAAAAGCATACAAAACTTTGTTAAATGTAGCAAAATATAAAGATTTAAAATACTACGGTGATAATAATATTATACCCGAAAAGTATACATCATACATATCATAAATTTTATTGGAATTTATTAACAACTGAATATGATGAGAAGAATGTAAGTGATGATGAGGTTTGAATGATTATAAGTACTTAATGATTACAACATACTGTTTAAATTATTTGATTTATATTTACCACTTAGAAGTTTTTTTTATTTTTTCTTAATAATAACAATTATGAGCAATCTTGATATACGAAGTGGAACTGTGATTAATCCGATCTCTTATCGTTAATAATTAATAAGTACTTACCTGAAATTTAAATAAACAGTTGATTACTATTTTTGTTTTAATTATATATTTACCTACAAAAAATAATATTATCTACAGAATTTATCAAGAATTTATAAAAATCTACATGTATTATAGCTCAACGGAAAGTTAAATGATATGCTAATTTATAACACACGTCGATGTATATTACGCTATATATAATTTAACGGATTTTAATACGATATGAGCCAGTGATGCATGGTACCGGTTAAATAAAGCTAACTTTAATAACTTGTTATTTAGCATAAGAATTTATAATTATATAGCTTGTGAATATATATAAAAACCTAAGGTTATAATTAATGCATAATATATTTTACAATTATGATTGCATAGCAAAAATATAACACTTCTTTAGCACTACGATCTCCCGTAATACTCTACGCTAACATTAGTTATGTGTAATATGTAAAATCTTATTGAGGAATTGCGTGTATATACGGCTAATTTGCGCAAAATCAAAGAATATAAATAATTAAGGAAAAATAAATATGGGAAAAAAAATATATAAAGCATATCAAATTTCAAATAAGTATCTTAATTAATATAAATTTATCACGTTTTTCCCTTCTTGTGCCTCTACTGTAAAGTTCACTTTTATGAGTTCGCTTAGTATAAATTGCTGGTGTCGATATGTGTGTATATTTATTTATTTGGGGGATAAGTCGCTCGCGTCCGTAGGCTCTGACCACCTATTCCTAGGCCCACCCTACACGTGTCCCCCGGGTGGTGCTAAATGAGCGACAAGCCGATAGCACAGACTCGGCTCCACGCCCTGGTAGAGGCGTAAAATATACCACCCTTTGTCCGCACCATGAGGAACAATATAATAGAAATGGCCCCGAGTTCCCGGCGCCCCTTTAATGGGGCAGGGGTGCGAAGAATCTCCGGAGGAAAACCGGCGACGAGGTTCGCCACCCGTCACGTTCTGTCTCCCGGAGAGGCGAAAAGTGGATTGCAGAGGTCCGTCTGGCTACGTTGAATGTATGTGGGGCAATGAATGATAAAATGGATGAAGTATGCGATATGATGAATGATAGAGGAATAGATGTGTTATGTGTAAATGAGACGAAAAGGAAGGAAAGGATGTCACTACACATGGCATGTATACCGCATACTGGTCTGGTGTAGACGAGATCGAGCGGGCATGCCAGGGAGTAGGTATCATCCTTTCAGAAAGAATGGGCCAATGTGTGAAAGAGTATGAATGTGTAAGCCCAAGACTGCTGTGGATACGAATGAAAGTGGGCTTAAAGAAGTTGTTTGTGTTAGGGGTCTACGCCCCAGACATGTCTAAGCCCACTTATATCCGAGAGCAGTTTTGGGAAATGGTAAGGATGGTGTTAATGGAGTGTAAGGGAAATGAAAATATTATTATGCTAGGAGATTTTAATGGAAGGGGTTGGGGTGAGGAGGCTTGGTTATGAAAGGATATTGGGAACGTTTGGTGATGAAAGTATAAATGAGAATGGTGAAAGTCTCCTCACCGTATGTATGGAAAAAGAATCTTTTTGTGACGAACACTTGCTTTCGCCACAAGAGGATTCACATGTATACTTGGGAAAGAGGTGACGATAGAAGCATGATAGATTTAATAATTGTGGATGAAAGATTGAGGGGCGCAGTTGTAGATACAAGGGTTTACCGGGGGTTCTAACGTAGGAACGGATCATTATTTGGTTCTATGCCGAATTAATGGTCTATTCAGGCGTTGGCGCCATCGGTCATCTGTGTCTACCACTGCGTTACAGCGTATTAGAACAGAAAGGTTACAAGATGAAGGTGAGAAAAAGAAGTTCAAATGTAGACTGAAAGAAAATATAAGTGGTTTGGATGAATTATGTATGAAGGAGTTAGACTTGGAGAATGTATGGCAAAATGTAAAGAAAGGTTTAGTGGATGCAGCTACCGAAGTATGTGGTGTTAGTAAGAGAAAGAATGAAAGGAAAAATAATACGTTATGGTGATAGATTTACTAGCAACAAAGGCTGGTAATTCTAGCGGTACGAATGATGATATTGAAAGAAAAAAGGCAGTCTTTAGACATCTTAATAAGAGAGTAAAAGAAGTAGTTGAAAGAAAAAAGCAAGAAAGAACGGATAAAAATGATAGAAGAATATCGGATAATTTCCAGGCAAATATTAAAATGTTCTGGAAACTTGTAAGAACTGCCAGGGGACATTCAAAACAGCCTATGATGAATGCTATAAGAGACGAGAATGGCTATATTCTGAATGATGAAGTTTTGAGTTTAAAGAGATGGAAGGAATATTTTGAAAGCGTGTTTATGAGTGAGGAGACAACGTGTGTACTAAGTGAAGTAGAAATTCCGAAAGAAGAGGAAAGAGGTAGCGAGATTAGTGTAGGTGAAATAATGAAAGCAATGAAAAGCATGAAAGCAGGTAAGGCTGCCGGATATGATAGAGTTTCACTCGAAATGCTAAGGGCTGGAGAGGAAGTGGTGGCAGGCCTGCTGCACACCTTGTTTAATTTATGCTGGGAACTGAAGCGGGTACCGGTAGACTGGTGCAAAGCCGTGATAGTCCCAGTATATAAGGGAAAAGGGTCGCAGCAGGACTGTAAAAACTACCGTGGCATCAGCCTTCTTAGCATTGTGGGAAAACTGTATGCTAAGGTACTGATTGAAAGGGTCATGAAAGAAACTGATGGAAAAATTTGGGATGTGCAAGCAGGATTTAGAAAGGGAATGGGATGTACAGATCAAGTCTTTTCCATGCGCATGATCGCGGAGAAGTTTTTGGCCAAAAACCAAAAGGTTTTTTGTGCGTTCATGGACTTGGAAAAGGCCTATGACAGAGTGAATAGGGATGTGCTATGGCAAACACTGAATTCATTTGGGTTGAGCGCTGGCTTGATACGGGCATTGGAGTCCCTTTATAGGGACTCTAGTGCTTGTGTTAGGATCAACGGGGTCTACTCGGACTGGTTTGACATCCATAAAGGTGTCAGACAGGGCTGTGTAGCTTCCCCGTGGCTGTTCAACCTATTTATGGACAGTTGTTTGCAAAATTTGAAAGTTGAAGAATGCGGATTAAGAATGGGTGAGTTAACCGTCAAATGCCTTTTGTACGCCGATGATCAAGTTATACTTGCGTCGTCGGCGGCCGAGTGCAAATGATGGTTACATTAATGAACAGATCATTAAAAGAAAGGGGTATGAAAGTGAACGCAAGTAAGACGAAGGTTATGGTTTTTGAAAGAGAAGAAAGTAAAACGATTTGTGAAATAAGAATAGAAGGGGAGTTGATCGAGCAA